GCATTCCTGGCCCAAATATTCAGTTTTACTGCTAAATAACAGCAGCCCTGACTTCATTATTTCAGTATTTGCTTGTTTTTTGGGTTTGTTTGTTGGGGTTTTTTTTATAAACCTGCTAAAAAAAAAAACCTGCTAAAAAATGCTAGGCACTCTGCAAAGCAAGCAAAAAAGATGCCTATTTAGGGAGTTAGTAAAAAAAGCAGAGTTTGGGTACAATTTGTACCCAGAATGGAGACCCGGGAAGCCTCCGAGCCAGGTGACGTGCTTGGGGTTGTCTACCGCACTCAAGGCTGGCCTACTTCTACTCTGCGAGAGAGCAATGGGAAGTCTACTCCGGGTTCAACAGGAGCAAACTAGGCCAAGGCTGCGTTCCTTTGAAACCTCAACCTTAGAGAAAATAAACACAATAGGAGCATGCGAGCACACCCATGTTGCGAAGATACGTTTGCTAATTGCTTTGGTGGTCTTGGGATGTATTTTGGAAATTACTTGCTTTCATATTGCCTCATGTTCTGACTGCATTGATCAGGCTCTGCTGAAACTGGGAAGTACAATGACTTGCTGCGAGAGGTAGAAGCAACACAAGTTATATAGCTTGTAACTGAATGCATGAAATCAGTTGTAGTTGGCTGCTAATTTAATTTCACGGTGTGAATTCATGATGCACAAATCCTAAAAGTTACTGCATTTTTTGCAAGTCCTAATTAAGCTTTTGGGGGTGATTACCCGTATTCTCATGCCTATTGCATGCTGTTACTGCTTATTACTCTTCTTCCTTTGCTTTCATGGAAGCCTAAACTATCCCAATCCATATAGAAAAACAAGACCCAGCAGTTCTGCCCCCCTAGGAACAAACTAGTTTAAAACCCCGGCCATTAGAACTGGAGGCAAAAGCCTAGGAGAGAAGGAACCCTTGATCTGAGGTTAAAAAACAGCCCTGCTTGACATTGAAATCTGTTCTTGGCAATTGCTGCATGGTGCTGTAGCCTAAATAACCTACTTTACCATCCCTACCCCAGAAAATCAGTGAAGGGGAAAAAAAAGAAAAAAATAAATGAGCGTCTTTTCTTACAACTCTGAAAAGATGTGGTCGATCTCAGGCCGAGGGCAGAGGTTGTTTAAGAACACCCTGTACACGTCTGGCGTGAAGTCGTCTTGAGGGATCGAATCATTCTGCAAAATGGGAAAAATATAGTGAAAGAACCATACAGCACTTTTATACGCTCTTTGTAAACAGATCACTCACTACTGCACTTCTTTTGATTTGCGTCCTGCAACCTAGAGGAGCCTGGATGGTGCAGAATAATAAATTCTCCTCAATAACAGAGCAGCTTAAAGAGTACACCTTTAAAAAAAAATATAAATACATTCATCATCTTAGTTTCCACAAGGTAAAGTTATCTCTTTCTCTGAGCACCTGTGAAGAAGAAAGAAAGGACATCTCTCCATCTAACCCCATTATCTATAGCATCAATAGGTATATCAATCCCGATGAAGCCTCTGAGCTCGATCCCAGCGGGGTAGCTGACCAGTAGTGCTGAGCCCCTGTGCTTCAGCGAGCAAAATGGCAGCGTTACAGAGGACGAGCACGTTACTCATCTTTCCAAAGCTTTCAAAGAACCAGGGAACAAACTGGGCCACTGAGTCATTATTAATACTCTTGTTCTCTGACAGCAGCTGAAATGGTTCCTCTTCCTTCCTGAAGATACACGTTCAAGATACCGCAATTCTGGGCAAGACTCATGCAGTGTAGCTTTTCCATACATCTTTGTCCTAAACACTCAGTGTAATGCATTTGGCAATCAGATTTCTTTGGCAGAAATTGATAAAATTGCTCTCCTATAGAAGAGATACCAGCATTTTTTTTCTTACATTTTCTAAAATTTACAACAATTTACATTTAATTCTGCTTCTAGATGACACTTTCATCGTCCCCATTGTACCTGCTGGCTTTTCTCTGAAAAAATAGAATTACTGTTTTTAACTGGACTGGATAAGGACAACAGTCCTTTGCAGGAAGCTCAAGAGCCCTCCTCCCACTTGCATGCACTGCCTTCAAGCTCCCGAGCTTTTGCAGAAGACAGCAAGGACAGCTTCTTTAGTGGAGCTGGGAAGGAACGAGGACCCTGAGGAAGGTGCAAAGCTTTTTTCAGCACAGAACGGTAAACGGTGCGCTCACTGGCTTCTGCCTTTGCATCCATGCATGGAGAAAGGAAAATGGCACAGAAGCTTGTATTTTGTGGAGAGGAAACCTTATAAAGGAACAAGAAAAAAGGAAAACACACAAAAAAAAGTGAAATGCAAATATTGAAAATCTAATTTTTGAGTTTCCTCCATGCAAGCTAACTTTATCAAAAGCTATGACATGTAGTCTCCAGGAGCACCATGGGCCCATGCGATGCCTCTCCACAGCTCCAAAATAATACCTGAATCTGATGAACTGGGGGAGGAAAATTGTAACTTGGACACAAAGCCATTTGCTTTTAAACACCATTGAACCTGGTCGTCTCAGAAGCAAGCTGCTGATAGAGGAAATCATTGCTTTTATCTATTCTGCCTGTTTAATGCTGTTGCCAAGGGAACCGGAAACGTTGATTCAAGCCTTTGTTAGATGGAAGGAAACTTTTCAATATTTTTCCTGCTTTAGGTTAACATAAATAAGTGAATACCACAGGCGTCACTTTATCTCTCCTTTCATCTATGAAACCTGCAGAGGCCCGAGAGGGTTTTGTACCGTGATCATCGCTCAGCGTTTCTGTCCACAAGCGCAGACTGAGCTGGAGCCAGTTCATGCTCGGTCCAAACTGGGCTGCTTCCCTGCTCCACCTGGGTACCACCTCCAGGCTCCAATGGCCTAAGGTCACCAGCCATTAGACCCTTGTGCCTTCTTTTTTTCGGCAGACCATGCGAGCGGCTGCAGGGTGAACTGGTTCAAAACTTACCTGGCCAAAACAACCCTGTACACTTTACCGTGGGATCAGCTCGCTGAGCCAGGTAACTCGCCAATGGCACAACTGCTAAATCCAGTGCAACGACAGATGGAGAAGTTCGTAACCTGAAGATACTTGCGTTTTCCTGAAGGCCAGGATTCATAAAGCTTGTGAATTTTCTTGTTATAGCTGACGCCCCGCTCTCCTCTGTTCCCTGTACCTATAATCCCTTTTCAGTAGGCTCCTGCTCCTCAGCCAGCACTTCTCCTAAGGGCATTTTAGATGTTGATTCTGTAATTACCACAAAATTACAGTCTCCCATTGACCTAATATATTTTTTCCTTTACCAGGGATTTGAAGGTACTCAACACTGAACAAAATGTGCGTCTTTTCCAATAACCCGAGATCCAGACTTTTATTTGCTACTTGGTTCCAATTAAGAAAATATACCTCTTTCCCAACACGGACCTACAAACACCTATCTACAAAAAGGATAACAAACACAAGTCTTCAGGCGCAAGTACGGAACCTTTTAATAATTATTCCCTACCGGTAACGTAATCGGTGGGCTACAAAACACAGAGATCTAGATGGGAGATGAAAGCCTTGCTGCAAGCATTTGCCACCCCAGGCACAACCTCAGACGACTGTATTTGGATTCTAAAAGCCTGCTTGCCGAAAGGGATTAAAATACACTGCCCCTTTCCTCAGCCTGGTCTGAGCCATCCACATTGCAGTGGAACCACCCACACACCTTATGCACTAATCTCTTTTTTGAGACCAATGAACACATCACAAACTTTCAGTACCACATGAGAGCATCCCTCATTTCCAGCTTTGCTGAATATTGGCATGCAATTTTATTCTGTGATTAAGACTCTCTACTAATTTCAAGCACTGTTGATTTATGATTTGTCTGGTAACCTGCCTGCTTTTATAACATCTGTATCCAGTCTGTTATATATTCGGCAGCACAACAGCTAATTCAGATTATTTGCACAGACGGGACTCTATAGCTGGTTGTTTTATTTTAAGTTAACAGTCAAGCTCACTGGTGCTTCATTGTGAACATCTACATTAACAGGAAGGCAGAAACCAGTCTTCACAGCCAAACAGGCGACTAAAATAAAGCTCTTCAAATTCTATTTAAGGCACTTTTGACTAAAACCAAACCAAACAAAAATACCCAACAATAACAAAAAGCACCCCCCCCTTCCCCAAAAGCAGCAAAGATTTTTAAAAAATCATAGGGGAATCAGATGCCAAACTCAAAAACTCATTGGCGTATTTTAAAACTTAATTTAAACATTTATTTAAACACTCCTCTGCTTTCAGGTCTGCTGGGTGATGGATGCTGCTGAAAATCAGATCACACACGGATTGGTCCTGCAAGACCACACCTGCCAGGTCTGACCCAGAAATGCATAAATAAATAAATCCATGCTTTGAAAACGTGCTTGACTTGAAGTCCATGGGTCATCCCACTGCAGTCACGCTCAACTGCTTGGCCGAATCAGGGCTGCTCAGCACTGCAGAGAATCCATCCCTTATTAAGGTCCCTAAATACGAAATGAAGAGTTTATTTTCAGCACTTCTGGGGAGCCTCTCTGGTGCCATTCCTTTACAGCAGGATGAAGGCAATTATCCAGGCAATGAGAACTCTTCCTCCTCTCGCACTAAATACAGTGCCTACAGGTTGTCCCGCGAGATCTCTTGGCAAGCACACACACAGGGAATTTGCTAAAGAGTAGGGCTAGCGGATGCTGAAGTTTGTACTGTCACAGACAAGTCCATGCAGTGATACTATGCCCCAGCAGCGTAGCTCAGGCTGCCCTATGGTCAGGTCACTGCGTAAGATACAGGAGGGTCTGTGCCAACCTTGAAGCTATAAATCAGGAGAAGAGTGATAAATGCTGACTTGGCATCCTCTTACCCATGACTGAAAATTGCATTTTGTGTTTTAGGGTCATCCACAGGTTCTGAGAGGAGCAGCAACGCATCGTGTAAAACTCATGGCCAACAAGCCCTGCATCTTCCTAAGCAATGAGAAGTTTGGTTTTTCTATGAAACTTGGAGAGAAGACCCTTAGAGGGATCTTCATGAGGCATGAATAAAAAATACCCAAACAGCCTAAGCTGTTAATGTCCATCAGAGACTTTCATAAATTCTCTGAATAATTTGGTATATTTATATTTATATGACACCTATCACCATATTTGATAAACATTCTTTGGAACCACTCTGACGGTTTTACTGAGGAAGATTCCCTGGCATTCATATCTTGTACGCTGCTGGGAGTCCAGTGCTCTTCCAGGCTTGACGGGAAGACCACTTGTCCTGTAGTACAACAGGGCAGAAAAGCTGGAAGTTGAAGTTAAGAATTGTACTTGTTCAAATAAACAGGAACACAAAGGAAAAAAAAAGCTGTAGTTGAAGAACTGATTTTCTTCTACTCCATTACCTCTATGAGATTCAGTTTCATGCTTCTTAAGCACTTAGCTTCTAAAATATTTTTTTCAAAGATGATCAACACAGTTTTCTTTGTTGCATGAAGCATATTTCTCTTTTGTCCCAACCAAAGAAAGGCTCTACTTTATACTATGAATAATTTTCAAGATGGTATCCCAGCAACAAGTATCCAGCAACACGTATGTAAAATTGACTGTGCTTAAATAAATAGCAGAAAAAGGTTGCAGTTTCTTCCAAGGACTCCAGTGATGTTTAGATTTTTTTTTCAGAGGTATATAGTAAAGTAATAAATCAACTGATTTAAAAAAGCGATGTTTCAGTGATTTTTTGCACATCTTATCTTGTTTGCTAACAATTAAATGAAACCCCACCTTTAAAATTATTCTTTCCACGTTGCTAACCTCACAACCTTACTTTACATAAGATTATTATAATCTTTTATACCTACTTTACAGACATTCCTTTGAATTTTATGGAATTAGGCTCCCCAGCCTATGAAGGAAGGTCTCATTGGTAAGGGACATCTGACGTTTGGCTTGTGAAGATTTTGCTCCATTGCTGTTCTGGAGCTGTAGGAATTGGCTGTATTAAGAAACCGTTGGGGAAACAAAGGTTGAATGAACACCACACCACAGTTTTCTACAAGAGTGAGGGATTAGGAGATGCGGGCTCTCTGCTGCAATTCTGCCCCACGTCTTGGACCTCCAAATGTAGAAACTGTCTTGCAGGAAGCTTGCTGGAGGAGAAGCTCCACCTGGGAGGAAAGTCTAAGGACATCATCACTCCAGCGTTAACTAGAATTACCTGCTCAAGCTCATTCCTCTTGAAAAAAAGCCTTCTTGAGGGTGAGGTACCATCCGGCAAATGCTCCAGGTTGAGGAGAGCTCCTGGATTAGCAGCGTACGATGGCTGCATCCCCGCAGCATTAACAGCTTTGACACTATAGCATTTCAACAATTACTGCATGCACCTTTTAGATAAGCTACAGGGAGTTTAAATTGTCACTTAACTCAAGCTAGAGATGGTTTTTTTTGTGAAAAGGAAACAGATTACACCATTAGGTACACCTCAAGCTAAGACTGCTCTTAAATCATGCCTTGAAAATTGTGCAAGTCAGTAATTCTTAAAATATTCTCACAGGATTTCTCCAAGACAGGTCACACAACCTCCTGCCCTTTCCTTTAATCCATTTGCACTTCTTCCAGGCACTCCTGGTCCCTACACAATTTCAAATCAAAGGTACTCAGATTTGCAGATGGGTATCAGGAACTTCTGTGTGGGAAAGAAAGACCTGCTGCTGAGGACCTATCCAGAAGCAAAATCAGCACAGCATGATCAGCCTGGAACAAATTGTCCTTGACTCAACAGAGAGTAAGCACCGCTGAATACAAGCAATGCTTTGTAAGGGCCAGGAATAAATTCAGAGGCTTACCCTGGAAGATGGAAGATTACAAGCTTCTAATGCGGTCTCTACTCGTTTTCTGTCAGCCGAAAACAAGCGGTATATGCTGCAAAACAAAGACAAACCAGAGCAAATTGGCTTACAGACATGCCTTGATGGCCCATGTAGCTTAAAGACTGAATATCACTTCCCAGTCTATCGTATCTTTAGCTATTTATTTCCGTTTGGCTGGCTGCTCGGTAACACAAGTGAGTTTAATGGTGCCCACAATGAGTTTAACTCTACCCCACACAAGCCCCTATTACAGCAGATAAGTTATTTGAAAAAGTCATCGCTGCTCTCTTCATATTACCCCAGCCCCACACAATTTGAATATATTTATCCTCACAACTTGTCTCTGACATCTCAAACATATATTCACACTAAAAAGTCAGAGGAGGCTACGTGGTAAGGAAAGGGAACAGAACTTACTTCTTCAGAGGAATGCGCCCTTCTGGAGTCACCTGCAGCTTAAGTTTTGTGTAACTGTGGAGAGAAAAGCATCTTGTTTTATTTTTACAGCATTTTCAAGTACCTCGCTACCAATTTTATAGGTCAGTGCCATTGTTCTAACCATGCGGCAAGTTCCACTCATCTCTTTTGCCCAATATGAAAACCTGTTGGGATACCGTTAATCAGTAAATACCTGTTCCATCAACAGGTTCCAATGCACCTGTAGTGTCAAATACTGTCCATCTTGCAACAGGACATTGCAAATACCATTAATGCACAAATTTATCATCTCCCCTAAGCTCCTTCTCACCCAGGCTGCCTGCCAGTCTATCAGCAGACTGAATTGTGGCACACAGGCTATACAACTTGACTGGGAAGGTGGCTGTGCGCCTCCTCTTCCAGGGGCTGAAACCGTCCCTGCATGTTGCACACCGATGTCCCTGCCTCCCTAAGCCCTCCCCATCACACGTCTGTGAAGGTTTCTCCATTTGACCCTAAATGTTTTCAGTCCTCAGCTGGCAGGAAGTCAAATCGCTGGCAACTGAAACGTCTCTGCCCCAGCAAGAGTGTCAGTATACTTAGCAGCCCTGGGCAAGCCCAAGACATTTCCAGCATGAAGCTATATAAAAATTACACGCTGAAACTGTCTACAGGCAGGCAATTATCCAGCTTTTGAACCGAGTATTTAGAGCATCTCAGTATCTCAGGACCTGTGACTTCTCTTGCATGCTCATTAAGGCAGCAGGTTGAGGATGTATCTTCCTTTGTCCAAATCTTTCGACATACTGATTCAAAGCCTACTGAAACAGGAGTCATCCAGTGGCTTTAATGAGAAGCGGTTGGGCCTACAGCTGCTATCTGACGATCCTCCCGCTACGCGAGGACTACTGGTTACCAGCATAATGTCTACCAGCAGCAGCCTGCAAAGAGCATGACTTTGAGCGCTTCATCTCTTCCACTCGAATATAATTAAAACTATAAATGAGTTTTGCAGTAATATGATCTAGTGAAAAATGTGGCAACACTGAACTATTTCAGAGTATTATCCTTTTTTATTTTTTTTTTTTTTTTAAATTTTTCACTTTACCCACTGGCCTACCAAAGGAAAAAGAAACTGCATGGTTCTAATCAACTTTCCTTTTCTTCCCAACCAAAAATGCCATTAGCAACCGCTTTAAAAACAAAGTACATGCTAATATCCCTAACTAGGATAGGAATATTTTCACAAATCCTTGTCTCCTCCTATGCATCTTCTGGAAACTGAAATCTCTTGTGCTCCTGTGTCACCAAACAAAAATATTATCCCCTCTGCCCCCATCTCCCAGCACTGAGCTAGATTTAAAAAAAAAAAAATTAAAAAAAAAATCACAGCAGTTAATAAAAAAATATTTACTTCTCTTTTGCCTTCTATTTTTTGAAACTTTTGAGTACATTCTGCTCACATTTAATGTTTTCCTCTACAGCCAAGAAAGCTAGAAATAAAAGAAATAAAAGAAAATGGGGGGTGGGGGGGGAGGGGGAAGGGTGAACTTGAGTTAAAGCAAACTAATAATGTGTGTCTGAACAACAGTCAGCCCCCACCAGTACTTGCCACCTTTTTTCTCTCAAATTATTTGTTACACGTGGGGCAGTATTTTTTCCCCTGCAGCCATTATCCATCCATCTAAGAAAACCAAGCATGTTATTCCTGTTAAAAAGCTTGCTAGGAGATACTCCTATCGGTAGCAGCCGAATGGACTCATTTCAGTAGCGCAGTGCTGACGCCAAGAAGGACAAAGTCTGGACGTAACGCTGAGCCAAGGCTTCCCCAGTGGAGTCACCCTTTGCTCATTGCTGCACTGGTCAGCAATTCAGTACTCATGTGCTCCAACGTCCATTTTTGCACCCCAACACAAAAATACCCTGCATGATTACAACAGAAGAATGAGCACTTTATAACCAAAACGGTGGTTTTTATGAACCAACCCTCCTCCCAAATTAATCCTATTTTTCTCATCTGACCAAACCACAGGAGAGCTGCTCAAGCTGTTTATTATTGCACTTCCAACGCTGCAAGGGACTGAATGCCACAAAGAAAAAAACCCTTCTAGTTCTGCTCTAATGCAATTTGCTTTTCTATTTCAACAAAAGGGTTCTGATAGGACTGCAACCAACACTTTGCCTAGTACAGTAATTATAATAGGGAATATTTTTAACCTTCAAAGTCAAAGATTTCTTAAGTGACTCTGATTTGGCATCTGTGCAGAGGACCCTGGAAATCCAACAGTTCCTAAGTGATTTATTAATTAGTGGAAAAAGAAAACACA